CATTGAAAAGAAAGGTTTGTGCTAATATTGTTTGCATGCCTACATCTTGTACTCTGAATAACTATTATGAAGACAATATGCAATGTATTAATTATTGTAACTCTCCCATTAACCTGTTTTGAAATGGTTATTTGTTTTTCTCTTTAAAAAACCAAAAACCACTCATACAAACACTGCTTCTCTGACAAACTGGTATCCTGTTTCAAGCTGTGACAGTGAGAAATAAACCAAGACATGATAAAAAATATGGTTAATGTTTACATTCTTAAAAAATGTATTATAGTATAGTATAATAGTACTATTATACTAGTATAATAGTATACTATTATACTATTATACTAGTATACAGCATTCAGAAGAATGCTTAGTACTAGTATACAGCATTCTCTGCTAAGAGAATATTATACTATTATACTAATAGTATACTATTATAGTATACTATTATAGTATATTATAATAGTATTATAGTATAATACTATTATAGTACTATACTATAATACTATTATAATATACTATTATAGTATACTATAATACTAGTATAGTATACTATTATAGTATACTATAATAGTATACTATAATATAGTATATTGTAGTATACTATAATACAATACTACAATACTATAATACAATGACATATTTCCATTAATCCCCATCAAAATAATTTGTCTCACTTTGAACACACTTATCTTGCCACTTTCTGAAACTGTTCTGGAAGTCTTCTTTCATGAGTGTCTTTAGTTGCACTGTCATAGCTGCCTTGATGTCCTGAATCAGTTCAAAATATTTACCTTTTATGGTCACTTTGGCACCAAGAAAGAGCTGGAAGTTGCATGATGTTACACTATATGCATTAGGTGGGTTAGGACATGCTGTAATGTTTTCACTTGACAGAATCTGAAGTGGCAAGGGCATGCAACTCCAATGCGTGATCCATGATTTATGGTACACTTGAAAACACAACTTTTGGTACACTTATGGTACACTTCTCTCAAACACAACTTTTCACATGCTGCTACTAAGGTTCAATATAGTGCTTTTCATACTGAATATCCCTGTCTTTCCATTGGCTAGCCCTCAGCAGATATTTTATGTACATCCAACACACCTTCATAAAGCAGATATTATGCAGATGGTAGGAAAATGGCTCTTTTTGTTACAAGCCACAGAAGCAGGACTGTGCTCAGGTTTTGGCTAACAGGATGGCATGAGAGAGATAGAGGGTTCCTGGCATCTGCAGCAAAGCTAGGAAGGGGTACCATGTTAAGGAACTGGCTGAACTGTAGCGGTCTGCTGTCCATGAAGGATATTATGAGGTAGGTATTTGGAAGACTGGGACTTATTTACATCATCCTCCTTTGGAAGATAAATGTTTAATTTCCTATCATTTTATTGTATTGTACATCCATGTGGATGCCTGTGTGCAGGTATAGTTAATCCTGGGAACAAGATCTTTTCTCAGATACTGTACTCCACTTTCTAATATTCAACTCTCTTATTTTTTATCCCCGTAGGGGTTAGATTATTTTCCAGGCAAGTCTCTAAGGTAGTTTGGGTGGGGAGGGCACAAAACACAGATCTCTCCAGTAAGTAAGGAGAGCAAAACTGAGGGGGTGCCCCTGTAGCGGTCACTACTGTGAAGGATGCCTACACCTCTTCTCTCCACATCTTAATATTATTACTTTCCATTTGCCAACAATGGGCCATCAGACAGCTCTTATCTCTATGACTTAAACATACATAGGCACAGTTTATTTATTCTTTGTGCTCATAAATTTTAAAAGGTTACTATAAATGAGCTTTATAGGCTATATCAAATATTGCTGGAATATTTTAGAATTCAGGTGTTCCTAATCCACAAGAAAACACATGAAGATAAACTGAAGCTTAGGCCCTCTCCAGTGAAAAGAAAGGCCTTAACTACTCCAGAACACAGGGCCTGGGCCTGCCCTGCAGTCGAGCGCATGTCCCGGCCCTGCTATTTACTGTAAGGCCAATGATTTCCTTTCTCTTGGCACCACTTCCTCATCTGTGCAGAGGTTAGGTAAGTTTACCTTAAGATCCCATTCACACTTTGCAACAGTTTCAACTCTATTCCTTTCCTGCTGAGCTCTTGCACTTTTTAAGCTCACTTTTCTGGGGTTTCTGTGAGTGTTTCCAGCAGGTTTCCTGGCAGGAGTAGCTGACAGTTTTCTGAAGAATCATAAGAGTACCGCGCAGGCTGAGTGAACCAAAGGACTCTGAGATTGTCTTTTTATTTTAAATTTTTCATTTTTTTGTAGCACTGGGGGACTGAGTCCAGGGTCTTTGCACTGAGCTACATCTTCAGCTCCCTTTTTGTTTTTTTATTGTGAGATGGAGTCTTGTTAAGTTGCTCAAGCTGGGCTTGAAACTACAATTTTCCTACCTCAGGTTCTCATCAGAATGCTGAGATCTCAAGTGTATACTGCCACACCCCACCATCCTTTCTTTGCTGTAATTTTCCCAGAGTTGGTGGTTACCACATGATCAGAGGCAGGAGGTTATTGTTTATGGAGCTTTGTTTCCACCAGATCAACAAAGCCCCATTCCGCGGGTCTTCAAGATTTATTTGTCATTTTGCCACACACAACCCTGAACTGGACACTTTAATGTGGGGCTCTGAACCAGGACAAGATTCCTAAACCCGGGCAGAGGGTTATGGAAACAGTGCTTGCCTATCTGGGGTTTCAGTGAATTCTATTAAACACCCCTTCAGCCTCTCATATGCGTTCAGAGGTTCCTTTCAGAGTGGCAGTTACTTGGGGTGAGTGTCAAAGGTCTCTAACCGAGTATTTCAACATGACTTCATAGGCTTTGTAAAACAAACATTTACATTTCTGTGTTTTACCCCCCTCTACGAGTGCCTACAAGAGGGTCTGGAACATGAACAAGGTAAAAGAATAGTCTTAGGATACAGATGACAAAATGATTAGAGGAAGAGGACAAAGGAATAAGCACAAAATTGGAAATAAAAATTTAATGAGAGTGATACAATGACTGGAGAAATCTATCACTTGGAGGACCTCAGGGAAAAGGAGAGGAAGGTGAAAAGAAAGTTCAGAGTCTAGGTCTCTGGAAGTCAGTCAAAGGTGGCATTCCTGAAGGTATCTGATATCTTTACATAACACACACAGCCACAATAGACACCTGGCCCCACATGAAGGTTGGTATTAAAAATGTCATTTGCAATTCATTATGTTATCTATTCATAGATGATATGTCCTTAATAGTAGGGTTTAGGTAATATTAAGAATTTCAGCCAGATCTGAAATAGAAGGAAAGACATATGTCTCCCAAGCATTTGTTTGATTTTTAAATTTTATTTTTTGATTTTTCTTATAAATATTGTGAAATCTGTAATGAATTGAGGTTCCTTTTTCCCTTTGAGTACTAAGAATCTCAGAACAAAATTTAGTTCCTCTACAGACTATATATTTTAGTCCCTCTACACGGTCTACATGTTTATGTTTTTCCTTACTCTTATTCTCCTTTTCCTTAATATCCTCAATTTATTCATGTTTATTCTTAAATACATCTATAAATCTTTTGGGGAAGGAGAGAGATATATGCATAGATACCTATATAGAGAGGTGGGTATATAGGATAGATACAGATTAATAACTTAAATGGCTATGAGATGCTTCCTGTATACATATATTTCTTGTAGAAGGCCTACTTTCTAAGTATAGATTGCCACTAATGTCACCAATCAGTTAGTGAGAAAACATTCAAATATTCTGATTTGAGATAAACTTAAATGACAACAAAATAACTGGTGGCAGATATTGCTGAGATATGCGAACATTAGGCCTCAGACACTATGGTAAGGACAATCACAGTTACTCTTTAATTCTACTGTGAGGGACTGAACTAGGAAGTGAGGTGGAAGAAAGCCCAAAGGCTTTGGAGAAATCTGAAATTTAGGTTTCCTTAAAACATGATAGCATTAGGGATTCATACCCAGGATGTTTATTTCTGTATTTATAATGAATTCTAAGGATCTAGCACAACTCCAAAGAAATCATTTTATAAAAATACTGCTGTCTTTCCCAGTGTAGTATACACACACATACACACACGTACACAAACCAGAAAAAGCTTTGCAAAACAAACAACATTGTCTTACAAACACACAAATACACGTATAAGGACCCCAAGACAACTGCAGTATCTGACTCATGTGCTGACTACAAACAAAACCTTTTACAGGTAAAAATACCCAAAACAGTAAGTAGACCTAATGATTTGGGTGGCTCGAAAGGATCCCTACTCCACTCTCCAGGCAAGGTTCTGCCATTTGAGGTTAGGCCTGAAGAAAGGCCAGGGAGCTCCAAGTCCAGTGATTTTCTCCTTTTACTCAGCTGTGGGTAAGCACGCCTGGCTAGACCGCTACAGCTGCTGACAGCTTTAGGACACCTGAACAGCTGCAAAGCCTCAGGTCTGCCGTATTAGCAGGGCTAACTTTAACACATCACAGAACACAGCAGTGTTTCTCAAAGTGAGATCCTTGTACCTCATGACTTTAACTCACCCAGAAGTTGAATGGAGCTGCTGGAACACTGATTTCTGGGTATCCTCCCAGACCTACAATATCAGAGGCCAGTCCATCACCCCAGGGATTAATAAAAATATGAAACCAATAAAAGATCATGGTTCTAACCCTGAGATTTAATTTGTTGAAGTTTTAGAAATGGGAGGATGTGTGTTTTTAAAGAACAAGTATCCAACTAGTACATACAATTTTTATGTATCAGTTAAAAGTAATTTTAAAAAATAATAAATCATATCTTCTTTTAAAAAAGAGATAACAGATGGCATGGTTAAATTGTGAGCAGGAATTTTAGAGAAAAGAACCAAAAAAAAAAAAAAAATCCTAACTCAGAGTTGGTAAGGTTTGAATGCAAAGAAGCATGGCTTAAAGACAAAGATGTTAGTAAACAGGAAGAAGTGTGGGTTCTCCCTTTCCACTTTGTCAAACTTACGGCCATCGGGTTTTATCCTTCAGGGAATTTTTCCTAGAGCTGTCCCCTTCACTGGGGCTGTCCTCCTCCTCTGCCTCCAGACTTCGACTGCAGCTCCTGATGATCTGAAAGATGCTGTTGACAGTGGATTCTTTCTCTGAATTCTTTAAGCCATTTTGTCCTACTCGTAGCAAGAAATTATCTTGTCCACTGTAATCTGCTACAAACTACAGAAAAATATACGGAGAAATTGCTATTGCAACTTAATATGTCTGCATAACCCACTTGGCTAGGAAAACAAAATCATAAAAGCAATAAATAACAAGCATCTGCGCCTATTTTATTGGAAAGAAAACAAGAATCTCCAGGAAAAACATTTTTTCACTTCACCACATGAAATAGCAAAACTTACACTTGTTTTCACTGAAATAATTTTAGTCCTCTAGGAATCAACACTGCACTTAGAATTTAAACACAAAGAAGCAGTATTATTTCAGGACTCCCTAGGGAAAAGTTTAGCTACTTTGCAGGGGAAGAGCAGAGTTATTTTATTTCTGTAGTGAGACTAGAGAAAAATCCTGATAAAAGTATCCTATCCTAAGAAACAAGATGGAATGACTGGAGCCCAGTGAAAACATTAAGAAAGGTAACTTTCGCTCTGTTGCCCTTACGTGCTACAGTGAGACCGCGGCTTCTGGGTAGTTTTTAAGCTTCTTGGTGGAACTCCTTTTTTCTTGATGTGAGGAGTCCTGTGTGGGTAAAGCTTGAAAAACTTCATTTAAGCTTTCTCTTTCATTTCTTGTACTTTTATTCCAGCTGCTAAGTCCAAGACATGATAGCCAGTGGTGCTGTACTTGTCTGGGACTCAAATCTTCCAGTTATCAGGTGATGCCTATGTTCTAGGGTCCTTCTCACTATTGTGACTACACGCTTTGCTGGCCTTTCTCACACATGCACACATACAGCATGCATGCATTTGGACAAGGCACTGGTGTCCACAGTATCTTCCCACAAGCCAGGAGAAGGCAGTGTTGACCCTGCCCTGCCCTATTATTTCTGCCATTGATTTGAGAAAATTAACATTCTCAGTTGACTTTCTTTGTTTCCTTGCACATAGGCATTCTCACCAAGTAAGAAAAACTGTGTTTTTAAAATAAAAACAAGAAAACAACATCCCTTCTACCTGTACTTACACAGGGTCACGTTAAACCTAACATACCAATGCTGAGCCTCAAACAGTGCTAGTTGGCACTTTCCTTCAGAACTTTTAGGAAGCTTCCTGCTACCCAGAAGCAACATAACAAGGATTACGCTAGACTCAGTAAGAGATCTCTCATCTCCTTCACGAGTTACAGCAGAGCCTGAAGGGCAGGTGGAAACATGGCTCCTCAGAGCCTGCTGACTGCAAAAGGCCTCACCTCTAAGGTCTCTTCTTGCGAATTGTACCGTGGGCAAAGCTTCATGAGGCCAGAGGCTCCATCCAGCGCTTCACAGAGCTCCTTTAGAAACACCCCACAGAATGGAACCACCCTGCAGCCAGGGATGTGCAGGGCGCGGGTTACCACCTTCTGGTACTCCAAGGAGGACTCGTGCTGAGCCATGGCGTCCTTCAGGCTCCTCATGGTCTCAATGTCAGACTGGTCCATGAACTGCCACATCTTTAGAACTTTTCTAGACCTGTTGCAAGAACACAAGATTGTTTTAGGCTGAAGGAGAAGTAATACAGCTCTCAGTAAATAGCTTAAATTCCACACATATGCATTCTGATTATCTTCTAAATGTTTTTACTTGTTAATAGTTACTTAGGATTTCTACATACCCCCCAAATAATAGTGTCTCTGTACACTGAAACTCAAATTAAATAGGACAGAGACAAACAAACATATGCAGATGGGAGGAGATAACTGTGGAAGCTGGACACTCAGTACAGGTTTGCGCTTTCCTGGCAGCTTTAGCCAAAAGGGAAATGGTGGATAATAACAATTTGTGTAAATATTCATGGAGAACTGCCTGCAGAAAACCTGGTCCATCCATTCCTCTTGAAGTCCCTCAGTGATATATATACAGCTTGGTGTTTTGGCTTCTTTGGAGAGCTGCTTTTTATTGACTCGAGCTTTGACATTAAGCCATCAGCCATTTGGGGAAAGCTTGTCTTAAAGTACCATTTGTATATTAGGGTGTTAAATGGAACTTTTCCTATTTTAAAGCTGCTGCTAACACCACCAGGTAATGCTGCACTCGCCCTAAGGTGAGGCGTCACGCTGACGCCGCTGTGCGCCGGAACAGCTCAGCCGTCAGTGCTCTCGCACCCAGCTTTGGCCCACACCGAGGAGCTGGACTTGAATAGACAGGTAGGGAAAATTTCACTGGAGAAATGTGGAAGGGCTCTTGCAGAAGGTGGATAATCGCCTAAGCACAGAGGCTTCAAGTGAACTCCACGAAGACCCTGACCCCTGGCCCAGTACGCGACTCTCGACTCTCTCTTGTCAAGAGGAGATGGTGGTTGCAGCTGCCTGATGGCAAAGGGGGAGCTTCTGGCAGACGTGTCCTGCATTTGCAGAGCTGGAAGGGCAGAGTGCTGGTGGCTCCTGTGAGTCGGGAGAGAACACTGGAAGGAGGTAGGGCTGCGCTGTATTGAAAGTCTCACCTGCCAAGTAAGGCGACCCTAGCAGAAAGAGACTGGGAGGGAAGACTTCTAAAGCTACAGCCTAGGGACAGAGGACTGAGTGGGTGCCTGGAGCGTGTACTGGCAGATAACGGTGTTGTGGGAAGCCCCTGTAGGATAAGGTAGGGGGAGCAGTCAGAGGGAGAGACTAGGAGACACTAAAACCACCCGCATCAGCTTGTGAGCGCAGCAAGGGCAGAGCATAATTGCCCCCGCACCGTAGGGATCTTTTCCTGCCTCCATCCCTTTCCCTCCTGCCTCCCTGCCTCCCCAACCCACTCTTCTCCCCTCCTCTGTGTTTATCTTCAGAGACCCCTACCTCACTGTAAGAGAAAGGTTGGGCTAAGAAGTGTGGAAAAAGTGAGACACTATAAACTGAGAGATTGAAATTTTGACTTACATCAGACTGGATTAAAAATCACTATGGGATCTACGAGGCATTGAAAGGACATAAAGAAATACAACATAATAAACACCCATGTGACTGCCCCTCAGTTTAAAACAGTCCAACACCAACAATATGGATGAGGATGAGTGGATGCCTCGAAGAGCACAGACGCTGCCCTTCCTCCTGCCCAGAGGGGCCCCACTGGAACTCTGGTGTTCTCTTTCCCTTATAATTCATTATACTTTTCCAACACAGGCACATATTACTAAGTAAGTTATAGAATTGTAGGCAACCTGCTTTTTAAAAATATACCCTTATGTTTCTGAAATTCATTCACATTCATAAGTGTGGCAAAGAGACTGTTAATTAAACTCAGGAATGATTGGAAAAGGCACAGAACCGCCCTGTGTACAATCAGGGTCGGGAGGAAGAGCCAGTTGGACAGGTTTGAAATAGAGCAGTTGGAAAAATAATATTGTTTTCTGATTTCATGCCACTAAGTCCAGTTTATCCTACAACCAGATTCTTATAAAGCGGTGACAATCCCCACGCCCCAGTAAAATGAAGGTATAAATAAGCTAAGCAAATGAATGACTGAGACATGGGTCTCATTATTTATTAGCCTCTCTTTTGTGTAGGTAATGGAGTCAGAAGGGTACACTTGGGGGTACAAGACAAACTTCAGCAAAGATGAGTTAACTTTTCTTAGATTGAGAATTGGCCTACTTTAAAACTTTACGGTTATGAAGGTACCAGATGCTCATTATACAAACTAAAAACTCAAAAACAACAGCAAAACCCCCAACCGAACAAAAAACAAAACACAAACTAAAAATATAGAGAAATCACCCACAATTCTACATATATGGACCACAGTGTATTTCTTTCTAGCATAACTTAAATATCTGGATCTATCTGGGTGTATAAATATTGCTAAGGTTATTAGGTATAAACAGCTTTGTTCCCAGATAGTATTAGTGCTTGTATGTCATCTATTTTCTAACAATATGAAGTTTTTCATAAACATCTTTTTTTTTCCTTTTTAAATTTTGAGACAGGGTCTTACTAAGTTTTTGAGGCTAGACTTGAACTCACAATCCTCTTGTCTCAGGCTTCCAAGTAGCTAGGATTACAGATGTGTGATATTGTGCAGGATTAAACATCAATTCTGACAGCTAAATAGTATTCTACTAACTGGATTTGTCAAATTTTTCCTTTAATTATTTTCCTATTGTTTGTTTGTAGTTATTTTAAGTTGACAGCACAACTGAGTCAATACCTTTGATTATAAATTTTTGAACTCCTAATTTTTCTTTAAAAGAGCCAACAATTAATTAGAGGAAGCAAAATGTACAATGTTTATAGAAAAACAAAAGGTCATTTAATAATGATGTTCCTTCTTCCCACCTAATTGCTTAAGCAAAATAAAAAAATGAAAAACCTCTAGTAATCACGATAGAGTTAAATATCCAAACACTGTAAAGCCTAAAAGCACAAGTACAAACTCTATCTCCACAATCCATCAACAGAACATCTGCAATTCATCTGTTTATGTTGTTCCAACTAAAGAGTTAATTACACACTCATCCACCTAATCTTTGATAAAGGGGCCAAACAAACTCACTGGAAAAACGGTAGCCTCTTTTTTTTTTTTATTTTAAAGAATAAAAGAAGGATAACATAATAATAGGGGGGACTTAGCAAATTACAGACAAAATGGTAGGAAATTATCAATGGTTATCGTTTTACGTATTATTATCTACAAAATAGTTTCTCAGGAAAACAAATAGACAAA